TGTAAATAATATGGTTCCGGAATATCTTTGTTCACGCTTTGTCTTCCGTTCCGATACTTTGACTTATAAGCTAAGAGATAGTGATGGTACGCTTGCTATTCCACAGCCCCACACTAATTACTGTAAAAGAAGTCTTTCTTACAGCGGAGTTGTACTATGGAATAGTCTAGCCTTGAATATTAGACAATCGCTGTCCCTTAATCAATTTAAATCTGAGTTGAAGAACTATGATTTTGACAGTGGTCTTATATAAATTTTATTTTGTTTTTATACACGGCTTCCTTGTAAAGCAGGTTTTTATCATTTCTCTTATTCTAGTAGTTATTTACAATATTAAATTAGTTAGGTAGTTAGATTTATTTAAATTAAATATTGTATAGTCCTGAAGGAAATACCGTGTCTAAATAAAGATTTTACCTTTACCTTTTACCTTACCTACCTTTGAAGGGTTCAAAAAGCGGTTTTGGCAAAGGGTGTTCCGCCTCAAAAGGTCCACAGCAGAAGCTTTTGCGGAACCCTTTAGGGTGCTGAGCCGAAAAAAGCCACACCCATAAAGCAGGACCTCAGTTTAGCACTTTATCGTACCTAAAACGGACAACTCTAAAGGACATGCTTTGTGCCTTCTAAAGCGGGCATGTAAAGTTGGTCCTTGCCACATGTCAGTCATATTTTATCCGACTAAAGGAGCCCCCTGTCTACTTGTAGCACAGACATAAGTTTATGCCTAACCTTATGTGTTCCGTAAAAAGGGAGTTTCATTGTGTACAAATTCAACTCAAGAGAAAACATTAAGTACTATATTTGCTTTTCTAAAATTTTATTGCAATATATTCTATAAATAATAAAATTCCATTTGACCGTGTTTTCTTGATAAATTAAAAACTTTTCCTGCAAATCTAATTCTATATAGTAAACTACAACTCTTTGCAAGTGACAGAAACAACGTGACTTGAGATACTGAGACACGAGCAAATTCTTTACAATTTTTACTTCTACTATACTCAAATGTACCTCTACCATACTCAAGTAAGTCTTGACACTGAGACAGACCTACCACTGGTCACCCGTAATCCATGTTTACTAACCATATATCTAGCAACTGAAAGTCGGTAATCAGGCCGTTTGTCCTTCACTTCGAAGACGTTTCGCCCCATTCATTAATACCTTCTTACTCTATACTCTATAAGTTTCCACTTTCAAGGGCAAGATAACAACACCCAGAAACCGGCCGGGAAAACAGGGAAAATACAAGCCCCTGGCAATGTCGACTCGCAGAATCTAGCAGGCCTCTTGATGGCAGTCTTATCTAATCCATCTTATGGAAATGTTTTATATATTACGTCTATTTTGTTAAATATACTGTAAAAGTTATGTTTTCTTTTACTAGGGTAAGGTAGGGGAGAAAAGGTGAGGGCGAGAGAGGGGAAGGGGGGGAGAGAGAGAAAAACTTCAACCTTCTGATCGATACAATAAATTAGTTGTTGTTTTTGTTGTATTGTACTTTGACACATTCGTGTTGTGTTGTATTCTGATACTTAAGATTCATTTCACGACAGACCTTTAAGGAGCTCAGTCACGGTATTTTGAGTTATTTTGGCTCCGTACAAAATTACCTTTAAATGGCAGGAAACCTGAAAATAACAGTTTAATAAGATAGAACAACACCAGAGAGATAATGATGAACCATAAAGGAACAAGGATGGCTAAGGATGGAGAAGATTGACACGGATTACAAACGACGAATTTGAAAAATTGAGGCTAAACTTTTCAACATGCGCAAACCGTGACTGAGCTCCTTTAAACTCTCAAATACACAGCAATTCTGTCACTGACAGAGAAACAGTAAATCTTGTTGGTGAAGACGGGCTGGAATATGTCCAAGAGGCATGCATCTGTAAACAACTCCAATTTGTTGACTCCATTGTTACCCAGTCTAGCTAGTCCTCTAAAAACAGCTAGCACTGTGTATCAGTGACGCGGTCTGGCTGTATACTTGCTCTCAATGAAGGACTTATAACACTGTTTGGCACAACATCCTCCAATACTTTGTCCTACAAAGGCAACACAAGTCAATTGTATATAGGCGTTTATCAGCATTTGTTGCCTGCACATCTCTTGAGCTATCTTTTCCTCTATTGGATCCTATTTTACTGCTATGGGAACTTGCACAATTTCGCGTCAAAAAAAAAATTCCAGTAATTTCCCTGAAGGAGTCCGACGTGAACATATTTGGCTCGAGATCAAGACTTGCAGACGGAACGTAGCGAGATCATTGTGTCCTGACAGAGAGCCACATATTTTCCCGTCTAGCCCCAATTTACTCTGTCAGTAAGTATTTTATCATACCGCCATTACCAGGCTTGATTTGGTTGCAAGTTGTGAAAATGTCTTTTATAGTTAGTGACTGCTCATAATTTGCATGTGCCGAATGAATTGTTGGCATAATTATACCCGGTTGGAGAACTTTTTCCAGACCGGCTTATGTTAACTCGTGCCCGAACCCACGCAAGTCAGTTCGCATTACGTTTGTCTTTAGGATCACACGAGGGGGGTCATATGTTGCTCTGATGAAAATAATCATTTGCAATGAATGAAACTACAGCAGCAAATCAAACAATCAAACCAGAAAGCAATAAGTCTGTCCCGGGGGAGGGGGTACTCCCAGAAAAATTGGGTGGGGGTGTGCGGCCCGCTTCTTAAAACCCTTACCCTATTTATGACCAAAATCTGCGATTTTCCCTAACCTATTAATGACCTGACCAAAACTTCGATATCCTATTTATGACCGTTGCGGCTGGCTCAGTTGCATTTAACATAATTTATGAAGGCTTTTGTTGATGGTCTTGTTGATAATGATGAAAAGGTAGCTTCTTCTAAAAAACATACCCAGTTCAAGACTAGAGTGTAAGAACCATACCCTATTTATGACCAAAATGGCCAAAATCGATACCCTATTTATGACAAAAACGGCTGAAAAACCATACCCTTTAGGGCTGCACATACCTATATAACCCATTTAAGGGAGTACCCTCTCCCGCTGAGAAGTCAGTCAGTTAGTCAGTCAGTCGGTCCGTCCATCAGTGAGCCAGTCAGATGGTTATTCAGACTGTCCGTCAGTCCATCCATCTGTCTGTGAGTGAGTCAGTCAGTTAGTCACACCGTAAGTCTGTCAGTCAGTCAGACAGACAGTCGGTCAGTCAGTCAGTCAGTCAATCAATCAATAAAGGAACTCACATTGTTAGTTCGCTTCATGCTCTCAACACACACTTCATATAATGCCTCTACTTGATAATAGTGTGCAGCAGAGAGTAAACCAGGCAGGAGACTGGATCCTAGATCACATGATCCAATGTGAAGAAATTCCAGCAGTGCTTCAAACACATCACTATCAAATTGCTTAACAATAATAACCTGAAAAAAAAAACAACAACAAAATAGAGGTGAGAAAATTACTTCATGACAGGTGTGGAATAATAACTGTGGAACTACATGTTGCTATGGTGGAACTTGAATAAAGGGACTGGATTAAGATTCTAACTCAGGGGGGACTCCCATCCAAAAAGGCCAGGGGTGCTCCTAGTACCTTTTAGGGGTTAAAATTGAAGCGGGTTTGGTACCTTTAGGGTATTTCAGGCTCAGAAGGTCCACAGCAGAAGCTTTTGCAGTACCTTTTAGGGTATTGAGCCAAAAAAATATAACAGGAGATAATGTTCTTTACCTATTAGGGGTGAAAAAAACTTTCAAGCCATGCCCACAAACCAGGATCTTGGTACCTCTTAGGGGATCTTTTCAAAATTTCCCGACGAGTACCCCTGTCCTTTTTATATTGATCTGTTTAAAACACAATTAACGTCACATTTTAAGTATTCATCAACACAAAAAA